GAATTCACTGTCAATGAGGGAATATATAACACCTGAAGATAGGCGTAAAAGAGAAAAAAACTATTACAAAATGCCATTTTTATGAAAAGCAGTTCAATTCTCGGAAGAGGATACTATTACCTTCTTGAGTTTGTGGATCTTGGTGAACTCGTAAATGGAAATTAGTTCACAGTTCTCTTTCTTGACGTCTCTGTCTTACTTGAGTAAAACTTTGGCGTAAAAGTAATAAAAATTACTATTAAAGCTTACAGCAATATTGGTGCTACCTTTCAAAATGCTTTGATTCACTTTTGTAGGATCATGATCGCAGGCTGGCAACATAAAACCGTCATAAAAGCTGGATTTAATTAGGCTTCAGCACTCAGTAGAATGATTAAAGTTTTCATTCATTATAGAGTAACATTCCGAATTCCTTAGAAAGGTTTCCCATTTATTTCATTATGGCCCCATCTCCACACTTATTGCAACTAATCCGTCCGCATGAATTTTTCAGCTGCAGTATCATGTCTGCTGCCTCCCTAAGCCAATTATTCACTTATTTCCCAAAAGGGCTTCTGCCCAATCAGGTTGCTCGCAACTCAACCCTTTTAATTGGGGAGGCATGGCTGCTAATATCTCATATCTATCAAAGATATTTGCATTTGCGGTGAAACTGCAATAAACTTGTTATTTATTCGGCCAGTCCCCGTTTTGGGCTTTGCTGCTGCTGCTGATACGTGTCCATTGTTATTAGCATTTGCATGAGGGGGTCCTCATTTCACCGGCCGCGCTGAAGGCACTCTCGTCTTAAGTTGTAATTTAATGTAATTTGATGTAATTTAATGGTCTTATCTTGCAGAAACAGCAGTTTAATGAAACATTGAGCACCTTTGTGAAGACAAAGTTTGGTAGAGTTAAATGTTGAAGACAGCCCGGCCTATTGTGTGAGGGACTTCATCAGACATCAAAACTATGTGCTGCTTTAGTAAACTGTGGGTCCTACAGTTGACTCTGTCAGCATGTTTCAGTTCCCCCGTGGGATTTTGGAAAGAAGAAACCGTCTGCACCATGTCTGACTGTAAACCAGATAACATCATTCATTAAAGCATTGGACACACAGCTTGTTGCTGCCATGCTTGTCCAGTAGTCTTAATGGACAAACAACATTACAAACTGTCCATGTTTTGGATTATTCAAGCTGGTGGAGTGTTTTAATCACAGAACGTCTGCATCTAAAGAATTGCTAACAGCACCTAAAACCTTCTAATCCTCAGCACCAGCACTCGTTCCTGACACCACGAGTTAGGTCAGGATCAGATCAAAGCTCCTCTTTCCCCACAGCAGAAGTGATTTATTTTATCATATTCAGAGATGTTGTTGATTGAAGATGTCAAATTGCTTTAAAATCTAAGCCAATTCACTCATTCCCCTCCCAAACCAAAAAATGAATTTTTTATTTTTTCATTTTTTTGCAGTGCATCTTACAAAGACCTCAGAAATTAGATTTTGGGCATGATGCAGTTTGATTGTGAAGAGATGAGTGTTTTTAAATCCTGCCTGCCAGATCAGCTGGGATTCATTTCTGTGGTGGGACAGATTTACACACCTGGAATAACACTGCAGATACAGTAACAGCTGGTAGGACAGAAGGCTTACTGTACTCTGTGATTCAAAGATTTACCACCAGCTTTCCCCAAAATTTGCTTAACAGCATGCCAACTGCTTTCTCTCTCTGAACATTGTGTCCTCTGTGATGCTGATACTACAGAACTTTTACTGAGATGGAATTATCTGGTGTCCGGTTGATATTTTTGCTGTTTGAACTTCATTGCTCTGAGGCCGGGCTGCGTGTTGCTCCTGCTGGATGAATTCATTCAGATCCTCCAATAAGGGTCTGACTATTTGTTAAAGACATGTTTGGATGACTCATCGATGACTCGACTTTAGGGGATATTCCTTTGACTGTTGCATGAGAACTGAACTCAGGATTTGCTTTCATTTTCCTTGCTCTCTCGCTTGCCATTCACAGTAAATAAATAAATAAACGTATCAATAATTCACCCAAAACATTTTTAAATCCCCAAAATTCATCACATTCCATTTTTGTTTTCTTTTACCAAACACAGGATTGACAAACATCATCAACAATCACTCTGGACGATTTTGAAGTCAGCTAAAGAAATGTCTTAGTATAATCTGCTTTGGGGATGTTTGTCAAACATCTGTATAGACTTAGCATGTGATGGGCTTCAGAATGCTGCACTTCCAACTTAGGTCAAGTTGATGGAGCATGTGACGTCTAAATTATTACAGATTCTTTCCCCCACTTTTTTTCCATCTTCATGTATTTATTTTTTAACTTTCTGAGACAACTTACTTCTAAATATTTAAATACCAAAATAATCATCCTTTAAGGGAGGCATGCGCTGTTCAACATAAACACTGACACTTCATTTCAACGCATCATCAGTCATTTTGAGCACTGTTTCCCTTTAATTCACTTCTTAAAAATGGTATTCTTGTTGCTTCTTTTGACAATCTGTGATACTCGTTAAGCTGTGAACCCTCAGCGATGCTTGAGATTAACAACACACATCCATCAGAGCTTTGGCTCACGTGGCACCAGACGACTCTTCCCCACACAGTTGATGAAAGAGCAGATGTGACGATGGCCTTAGAAAACCCCTTCATCTGCCAGAAAACAATAGTAACAATAATGACAAAAAATTAAAAGCAGCAAGTGCAACCAAAAGCAAAGAAATGGAATCACTAAGCTGGGTTGACAAGCGTCCCGTTTTCAGGTAGGCACAAAGTCAGAGAAATGAGCCTTCGCAAAACAGCAGCATGACCAACCATTCTGAGGGACTCACTCATTAAGGCGTACCTTATGGTGTTTTAAGACCTTAACCGGCTGAAATAGCTCAATGCTTCAATGTGAGTGTGATCCGCAGTTTTGTTTTGTTTCAGATATTTTTCAAATTCTATATTGTGAACGTTGGATGTCTACAAAATAAAGTAGAATTACATAACCAAGCCCAAATTTCCTTCCCGCTCCTTTTTCACATTTTCAACATCATGTTTTGCCTCAAGTTTGAACAGCTACAAGAAAGTCCACATTTGCATGATTAATAAGTTACATTTTTATACATACAAACATAGAGAGGGGAGCTTGGAAGTTGCGTGGTACATTCTCATGCTCAGCCTCCTACAATCTAAATAAATATACATACACAGTAAAACAGGTTTTCCCGCTCCAATTACTCCCTGTTTGAATTATGAGGCCTTCAGGAGGTTGAGATGAAACGAGAGCCTGCGATTCCCAATTGTCTGCATATCCAGTGCGCTGACATGGAACAGTTAAACCGTACATGCGGTTTTCTCACATACCAATAAAGTTTAGTTCCATAATTTAATCTGTCTATACCGTATCTTAATATGCTGGTGCCAGGTATTCACAGTGAGTCTGAAAAGAAATTACAGGAGGAGGTTTGTACAAGACACAGGTCCAGAGTTGTTGGTAATCAGTTTGTGGTCATCTGTGTTTGAATTTAGTTTAAGACTCAGGCTTTTTTTTTTTTCGTTGGCACTAAGGAGAGGCAGTCCGACTCCTCTGAGGGGGCGCCGGCGCTGGCGCCTTCAGTGGTGGACACACAGAGGTGAGGTAAGGTGGTATCAAGGGGGGGAGGGGGATTTTATCCACCTCTTAATATTAAGTGAGACGTAACCTGGGCAGGCTAAGTGAAGTATTGTTTGTGCCTTATCCAGTGTTGAGTTTTCCAAAAAGAAAAAGTGCAGAGAACGACAGAGAAACACACACAAACACATCAGGATGGAATGGTCAGATGTCCCCTACTGCTACCACTCCAGAGCCTTTGCAAATAGTACCCCTAAATAGTCGCTGAAGACATCTGCCAAACACATTTTTTTTCAGTATGCTATTTTGTGTTTAACGATCAGTCGAAGGTGGTTTATTCCTACACCTAAAGCTAGTTTGCCAGCCCAAAAAGTGAACAAAAAGAAGCTGCCTCGTGGCATTCTGCGCTCAGGCCAGCAGGAGGAGATCTTCTACAGTATGGCTGCTACAATAGTGAGGTTAGAAGATCACCGCTACAGGCAGTCATGAAAGGAAGCTGGAGCAGTTTTTTCCTGCCCGTCTGTGTCTTCAGGAGAGGTATGACCCATGTCAGCATCCTTTTTTACACTGTATAACATACATACTTTAAGAAATATCAAGCAGTTTGATTGTGGAACTCTTCTTTTCCCAGTTTGGGTTCTTTTTACGAGTGTGTATATGAGAGACTGTTTTTAATTGCAACCCCTAAGAACAGAATTGATTAAATATAGTATTACTGAGGAGGGCCAATAATAATGTCCTTATGTAACAAACCTTGCTCTGAGGCAAGTAAGCTGGTGTTGTTACATCTCTTGAAGTAGAAGGCTGCCCACAGGCTGGTCATTTTAATATCCCTTTTTCTTTTTCTGTTTATAATTAGTTTCTTCTTCCCTATGTTTTATATCCACAGTCAAAACAACAAGACTATTTGTCTTGCAGAGAGGATGGTGATACTACTGTTCACATATATTATTGGTGACAATGTATATATGTACACTTTTGGTAATTTGGATAGGACACCCACAAACATGCTATACATTGTCCTCTTAAGTGCTACTCAGCCAAGCTTGTCAAGTATTTGAAGCAAGGGACAGGCGCACACACATTCTTACACACACACACACACACACACCAGAGGAAGCACTCCAGCACAGCACACCAACACAACATCACGGCAGCCCGAGCTGGTCAGATATCTTAATCCCCCCCACCTCCCTCCCAGTTTCAAGGTTTTGATTTGCATACTCCCCACCAGCAGGCAGGTCCACGCCTCAGCACGGAGACCGCCGCCATTTGTGTGTGTTCACTTTTGCAGCTGTACATGAACAAAAAGAAGTATGTGGAGTGTAGAAGCACATGGCGGGATTTGCATCAATCTGCTGATTTTTCTGTTTTGGGCCTGCTGGCGTTAACAGGGCTTGTTGACGTTGCACAGCAGCTCGGTGACTTTGATGAGGCGGGCCACCGTGCTCTGCGACTCCTCCTGCAGCCGCTGGTTGTTCTGCCTGAGGCTCTGGACCTCGGCCTGCAGCACCGCCTTGTCCTCTTTCTCCTGAAAGACATCGGCACACAACAAAACAAAAGCTGTCGCTCAGATGGCTCTGGCAGGGACGGGAGCAGGGCGACAGGTACAGTGCTGGCTTTACGGAGAAAAAAAAAACGTGTGGATGCAGGTAAAAACACAGAGCGTGAAGGAAGACAACGCAAGTGCAGACACGCAGAGCACACAGCAGTGAGGATCCACGCCGCCCCAAACTGCGCAAACAGGCGGGGATTTGTCTGACAGGACGGTTTTGTTTTGTTCCGGTAATTTATCAGGTGAAAACAACCAAACATTTGCCGATTTTCACTGTTGCATATTGTTTATTGAAATCAGTGCTTTAAGGGCTGCTGGTGAGATGAGCAAGCACCTTGTCACTTACATTGAGTACAGGGCTGCAACTAATGATTATTTTCCAGATTGAACAGTCTGATGCTTATTTTTCATTGATAACATGTCAAAACTAACGGAAACATAATAACATGATAAGTCCCATGAGTCCAAGGTGATACCTTCTGGATTAATTATTTTCTTTAAAAAACGGACAAATACAGCAAACCTTCACACCTCCAGAAGTTTGGAGCATTTCTGTCAAAAAGCTGGGACACCGTGTAAAGAGTAAGTAAAAACACAATGCAGGGATTTGCAATACATTTCAACTCTGTAAATAATGCAAAGACTAAAATCTGAAATGTACAACCTGATTTATCGCATTGTATTGAAAACCATATGTTCAATGCCACTTTAATGCCACCATGTTGGAAATGATTTTGAGCAGTCACACGCTTCCCACTGTGCTACATCAGCTCTTCTCTGACTCTTATTTCAACACTCAGCAGCTCGAAGGTTTAAACCTTCTGCAGGCGAGTGGGTGGCATTGTTAAAGCCACCCCGGTTAAAAAAACTCCCTGGATGACAACATATGTCATCTCAAGACCTCTTTGCTTAATTTAGCATCAGCGGTGCCTTCACAGACCCATTCCACATGTATGAACGCTGTCACACATCATCACAGGTGATAGCTTAGACCAAGGCCGATCTTCTTTTTGCCAAGAAACATTGTCCATGATATAAAAGGAGGGTTTTGGTTTTTGATTGACCAGACATTAAGTCAACCTCAGTGATCTATGGCATATACACAGCTTTTTTTTACTTCAATTTGTCGATGCAACAACAGAGTCTCTGAAAGTTTACTGTCATTATTATTGTTTAGCTGGTGATAAACTTCACAAATTCTTGGCTGAATTGTTATGTTAAGGAAAAGCTAATGTAAGCTCTCATACTGCTGACATTTTTGCAGATGTGTGAACTCCTCCTCATCTCCACTGTTGCTCTTTTTATCCACGCGCTCTGGCTGCAGCCTTTTATCCGGCTTTAAATTTCTCAAACATGTTGCTGGCATCAAAATCAAATTGTGCATATGTTTTCCAAGACACAGACTGGTTTATTAAGCTTTGAGATCGAATATGTTGGTTGTGTGATAGTGTCAGTGACTTAATGCAGTATCTTTTTATTTACATTCTACACAGCATCCTATCTTTTTGTGTAAACAGATTTGCAAATAAATAACCGATTGTCAAAATCATCAACTAATTTTCTGTCAATCAACATAGTTTCAGCTCGAGTAGTTTCCTTTCATTAGCGTTGTGAATTCAGAACTGATTAATTAGAAAAATATACATTAGATTAATCAATAGTGAAAATAGTTATAGTTGCAGTCCTAATCATGGACTTCAGAATAGAAAATGTGGGAGAAATATCATGCTTTGTACATACACAGACATACACAGAGACAGTACTGGCCAAAAAAAGAAAACAAGAAAAAGAAATCAACGCAAGGTCCACTTGTGTGGAGTTAACAGAGCCACTAATATCAGCCGAGTGAGGCCATGAGACACGTTTGAAATCTCTGAAAACGCAAGTGGACGTTGTGTTGAGGCTTGTGTTTTGTAAGGCAGCTGAGTTCCACGCTCAAAAGAAGTGTTCATCACATACAGTACTCTGCAGCATCAACGAGAAAGGTAAATGAAGCAACACAGACTCATGTTTGGTGGAAATGTGCAAAAAAAGTAAGAGATAACAGCATTGAAGGAGTTCTCATAAATACATGAAAAAGAATGATAGAATATTCCAAAAAAATCTGAAAAATGTTTCTGTACATAAAATCATAAATAAATAAATGCCTTTTAAAGTGTTTTTCTTATTACATTTCTACAGTGAGTCATCAGTGACTTGAAGTATTTGCATGGATGGCAGGATTTGTAAGCACACGGCGGCTCAGCAAATACACATCTTCTTGCTCCTTCGACAGAAGCTGAGCAAAGTAAATAGTTTTTCCTACCTGGGGACTCTCTAGTGGGGCTCAACGAAAATATTATCACAGAGAACAACATTCACGGAAGTCAAAGCACCTTTTGCAGGTCATCCTGCAGCTTCTTCAGCATGGCCTCCAGCTGCGACACCTTCTCTTCCAGGTGGCCTGGAGAGTCACTACGGCAAAGAGAAGCAGTGACACCCAGTCAAAAAGCTAACTCTGCACTCTGTAATCAGGCAAATGCACTCCAAGTCATTAAATCAACAAATCCCTTCGGTGGGAGTAGGAAGTTCTCCGGCTGCGACAGTGTGAGAGAAGCTCTCAATTTGTTTGATTGGTGGTGGAGCCGTCCGTCACAGAGGCAGACTCTCAGCTCAAGACTTTGTCCTTCGCAACCTTTAATCAAACACGTCTTACTCTGAGATCAATTTACAGTAAGCGCTCGGTTCGCTGGGCGAAGCCGTTGTGAGTGGGTGCAGATGTCCCCTGCTGCATTATGTCTGACTGCAGCTATAAATAATGACTCCACCCTGCAGGCCTGAGCAAATGTGGCATGTTTAAAATAGTATGCCGTTATTTTAAAAGGATTCCACAGCTTAATCAAAAATGTTCTTTGAACCTTGCAGTTGTACAGCGACGATGGATCCTTTCTGAAGGAGAATTTGAATGAAAACAAACTCTCTGTATAATAGGCTCCATGTGTTACATGGTGTTAATCCCATTTGTTTAGTATTTTAGTTTTTAAGTTTTGTGGCTCTTGTTCCATTTATTTGACAGTGGCATGAGCCGGAATTTAACCCAGGCCACCTGCACAGGAGCACAGAGCCTCTATGTGTGGCCAGCCGACCGAATAACACAGCAGCCCGTGTTAGTCCCTTATGGGAAATAGCGATCGGACCTTTACAATTCCCAGGTGGTAATACGGCATGTCGGGCTTATTATGACTCGACACTGGGACCAGAGACAAGCCTTTAAATGGGTTCTGTTGGATAGAAATAATCATTTGGAAGAGGAAAACAAAACAAACAAAAGGGCTGAAAAGAGTATCAGAGAAAAAAAAAAAGATTTGGAACTGGAGGTTTCCTAAAGGATGGCCATGACAGCGAGTCAGACACACCACTAAATCAGTAAGACGCCTCTCTTTGTGGGGGAGAAAGGCCAGGGCTGTGATTCAAACAATTGGATGTAGTCAGGCTACTCAGAGAGTAAAGCAGAGGGTTTTGGAGAGCGGAGAGAAGGACAAAGTGAAGTGGGAGCCTGGCTACAGAGCTGTTGAACTGCTTTATTGTCTATACTTTATAGCAACCCACCTCTCCTTTGAGTCTTTCAGCTTGCCGTCAGTCTGGTCGGCTCCTCCTTGAGAGTCTTTGCGATCTGTGTGGACATTATCAACACAATCATCAATAAATGCAGAAAAAGATATCAATCCTCAATAGAAGAGAGACGGCATCTATACAGACATGAACACAACTATTTTTTTCAGATATTTACAAAACACAAGTATGACGATACCCAAATGTATTCTATTTATGTAATCGTTTATTTAACTTATTCTTAATTTCTGCTTTGGACATCTCACTTTGCATGATCTTGTACATGAATTGCGCTATACAAATAAATTTCCCTTGCCTAAACAAGTCATTTTGAATAAGTGGTGTTAGTAATGAGCTGCTGCAACAACCCCCTCTTCTAAAGTTCTTAGAGATTGCAGGGATTTGCAGTTTTAGTTAGGCCAGATATCAGAGCTGGGGCCGGCTTCAAGTCATTTTTTACTGCAAGATAGTCAAGTGTTCAATTTTCAGATTATTGCTCTGAGCATTGGAGACATTTTTAAGCTGTATAAAGTGATGCCTCTTCCCACAGCGCAGCAAAAGAGCTGAGAGCTCTGGTCCACAAGGCAAAGAACGAAAAAGGAAGATTTACACTGAGATACAGCATTTGAGACGTGCATGCTCCTCACCCTCTCGTGACAAAGCCTCCAAGATGCTGCGGCAGGCCGTCGCCAGGTCAGCAATGGACTGCCACTCCTCCTCAGTCGAATCTGCGGTCTCCGAGAGAACTACGACGAAAAGATCGAGATTTAAGACTCCCAGAAAGCCGTACCTCAAAGTGACAGCAGCAATAAAGGAGATCAGTGGCAATGTTGTGAGCAGTTGGGTTCCCCCTGATCATGCAGTGGCAAAGAGTGCCCACGGGGGGGCGCTGCTGTGTTGACGCTGGACTGAATGATAGTCAGGATGATGCACCAAAATAAAGGAAACGTCATCATGTCGGTGCTCTCTTCGGTTTTTGACTTTTTAGAATTACGTTTGTCACACGTTTAAATCAAATTCATAAAAATTTAAAAAAATGTAAACCCACAACATGTGAGTGTCTGGATTAAACCTTATATTTTTATTATTATTTTTTTCTCAATTATTCTTCAACTAGTGTTTCAAGATGACACTAAGCAGAACAGTTGTTTCTTTTTCAGATATTGAAGCTTCAGATTCAGCCCCAAAAGTTAAAAGAAGCGTTACTAACAGTCAGAGGCTCCAGAAACTGCCCCCCCCCCCCCCCCAAAAAAAAAAAAAAATCAGAGGAATTTATTGAGAGGATGAGCCAGAGTGCTCTTATGGTGGTTAAATGATGAGCCTCATAGTCTCAGTGGAGGCAGAGCAGATGGTGGAAGAGGGGTTTCTTGATTTGGGCTAAAACTGCCTAAAACTCCACCCCTCCCACTACCCATCTGTCTCCCTTTTATCCCAGCCCTGGCAGGGGGCAGCAGCAGAGCAGGAGTGATATTAGATTAGGGGAAAAAGGGGCAGCATGCATGAAAGAGGTTGAACAAAGGGATATGCAGTGGGGACAAGAGAGGGGTTTAAGGCAAAAAAATACTGGGAAAAGGAGTTGGTGGTTGAAATGAGGCAGAGATGATTTGCAAACATGTGTAATCGTTAAATTGTGGCATCATCTGAACAACCGTGCCAGCTGCTGTCCTGATGATTTTTTCCCCCTCTATAATTTTTTTCTACATAGATATCCAACATCCATTTTCTAAACTGCTTATTGCCAAACTTGAGCCTATCCCAGTATTCAGTGTGCGAGAGGCAGGGTACGCCCTGGATAGTCCACCAGTCCATCACAGGGTCACACATAGAGACACACAAAGACGAACAACCACGCTCACTCACACTCCTAACGGTTATTTGGAATGTCCAATCAACCTAACATGCAGGTTTTTAGATGGTGGGAGGAAGCAGGAGAACCCGGAGACAATCCCCGCAGACACAGGGAGAACATGCAAACTCCACACAGAAAGGTCCCAGTTCCCCCGGGGACTTGGACCCAGAACCCTCTCGCTGCGGGGCTTTGGTGCTGACCACCACACCACCCTGCCGCCCAATATCCGACATGAAAACATTAAACCTGTGCCCTCTGTGTACAATCTATAATCTGGATTTCACCCACAATCAAGAAGTACTTACTCTTGGTGATGGAGTTGTGAAGACTTAGGGCTCGTGAGTTTCTTTCAGCTCGGTCAACACTTGACAACCGGGAAGACGAGAGACAGGAATCACTTGCTGAGGCTTTGTCTTCACCAAACTGAGCGGCCATGAACTAAAGAGACAACAGAGGAGGAGATGACGGTTAAACAACACTGTCAGAAGAGGGGATGGAGTGTTGTAGGCGAGAAGATGCTCTGACGCCCTTCTTTCTTAGTTTGTCACCTGCTCGTCGTCCAGGGGAACTTTGGGCTTGACAGCCAGGATCAGATCAGGTGTGGCGTCCATCAACTCCCCGACATTCTCATAGATGTGCCGTTCCCCTTTCAACCCCACATTGTCATACACGTGGCTGTCGATGAGGCAGGGTGGACAAAAAACTTAATCCAGAGGTTTAAAACGAACAAGTCATCTCCATCATGGCTTATATATGTCTTTCATCTAAGCTTACGTTGTGATGAAGATGTCATCTGCTTTAAACCAGTCAAATGATTCTGTTCTGCTTTGTGTAATGATAAAAAAAATCGAATTCAATTTGGTACACAGCTGAATCTGTTATTATCAGCTGAGTGTTTCCTTTATGCAAAGTTTCTTCCTCAGCCTGACAAGTGAGATTTGTAGTTAACCAGTAAGAGAAAAAGCTGCTCTGACTGAGAGGCCACAATCTTTATAAAAATAAAACAATTTTAAAAACCTGCTAATCGTTGTAGAGATGATCACTTCATAATAAAACTCTCTAGCTTTGTTGCCAAAGGTACAACATAGCAATATACTATATGTAAATGGAGCCAGTCATTTTAAAACCAAAGAAAAAAACAGGGAAGTAGAAATGGACCAAAACGAAAGAGTGGTCAGATTAAAGGGTGTGCATTCACATGCTTGTGCAAAGCTTATTAGAAAAGAGGAATTAGTCATTGTAGCACTCACCCATCACTCATGTCTGTGAGGGACAGTTGTCTCTCTAAAGAGAGGCTGCGAGTGAGCTGCGAGGTGCTGCCCTCCTGACTCTGATTGGACGGTTGGTCCTGCAGAGAAGTGGCTCTTAACAAAGGCAAACTGGGCGGTGTGAGGAGGGAGCTGGTATCTCCCTCACATGGCTCTTTATCACCAGACTGTTCTTCTCCCCCTTCTGCCGCTGTCTGCACCTCCATCTTTTCCACTTCACTGACTCCACCCGCCTTCGGCTCATCCTCGTTTGCTTGATCCTCTTCATCCTCTTCCTCTTCCCTCTCATCCAGCACCCAGGCCTCTCCTGACCGATCCTCGCCGGGCTTGCACTCTGCATCCTTGATGGCCTTCTGATAAAGCTCAGAGAAACTTCTGTAGAGCATAAAACCGCAGTGAACTTTGTTAGAACAAAACTGCCCTTCCTCATTGCATTATGACTCATGCATTAGTCATAAAAAAATCTGATCCTTATGAAATCCAACTTTCAGCCATGAGTTATGCCATCTTGGTGTCACATTGTTTCTTTGTTGTCACTGATGTATGAATGAATCAGGGGTGTCTGTGGATTCTTCTGCTGCCAGCTCTGGAACATTGTTTTTTAGCTGAAAGCTAAATGTCCGGTTCAATATTGGTTTAGTTTGCTGGAAAAAGAAAATCTGTCCACAGCTGTTTGTGTCTCTGATTTCAGCAGAGTGGAAAGTGCTGCTTACAGTGGGACAGCCTGTGCCAGTGTGATTAAACATCATTAGAGGGACTCATTGGTTGTTAGCCAGCTGACTGCAGGCTGACATCAACGGCAGAGTGAGCAGTGACCTCTGAGTGGCTCTTGTCAAGCTCTGGATTAACTTGTCCCACTAAACCCTCCTCCTCCTTTTCTGTTTTACTACCTCTGGGACTACTTTTCTCTTCCTTTTGCTTGTTAAATACCCTTGGTTCCCTTCTCCCGTCGCACTCTGTGTCTGCTGACCCGGCCGTGAACTCGACTGAGTTCCACGGCCTCCCCGCTGATGCGGCACCCACCTGCGAGGCTTGCCATTCTCATCTGGAGGGATGACGGTGATGTGGATCTTGTGCGCGGTGCGCAGCAGCCTGGTCCTCTCCTCGGGGCTCAGACGGACGAGGGAGTGTCCGCACAGCCGCACCACGCGGGCCCAGAGCTGCAGGCCTCCGCTCTCGGCATAGCAGAACCTCTGCAGCTCCGTCACAAACCCCTCCTCGTTCATCAGGAACCCTGGCTGGCCCACCCCGTCGCGCAGGGGGGTGACTTCCAGTGCCTCACAGCCCCGTGTGATCAGCTGCAAAACAGGGCATGATAAATAAATCAAAGAGATAACAATATTCCCATTGTGACATTCTAATTAAGGCTCCATCCACCCACCTCGAGCCTTTGCACCACCTCCTTTATGTCTTCTGCTTGACTTTCCGGGACACTGAGAGAAACCGAGTCCCCGCGCTCATAGAAGATATCCAAACACGGCCCCCCCTCCTTACTCTCCATCACGGCCTTCCAGCCGATGACGTCCCGGCAGGAGCAGTTGAACACCACCCTGCGCGTGAACCTCTCAATGAGCACCACCGACTCGGCCGACACTCCGAGCAGGCAGTGGAGCTTCTGCTCGCCTCCCTCCCATTCGTCCCTGCTGTTGACCATCACCGCCCACACCAGGGCGCCGGCGCTGTGCAGCTCGGCCCCTTTAGCGCCCTTTTGCTTGTCTTTACGCTTGCTGCCCAGCGAGAGCAGAGGGAACTTGGTGGAGGAGTCGATGGGTGTGGTGGTCACATAGTTCTCTGCCAGGTCCTTCAGGTATTCCTGCCTCGTGCGGGTGGCCATGGAGCGAAACTTCTCGGACTTCTCCGCGGCATTTTCGGCGTTCACTGCCTTTGCCAGGAGGAAATCTCTGAAGGCAAGTGAGCGAGGGAATCGTGCACCCTTAGGGAACAGAGGACCAAATAATGGCATGTCTTTAGAGCGTGTCACAGCCACCCTGTGAGGGGAAGAGGAATGAGAGAGTGAGGGAGGGGTACAGCAGAAGCCTTCAGACTATGTCAATGACTGTTTTCTCCTGAGATGCCACACACCACGGGAGAGGAGACTAAAACACCAGTAGTAACAGCTGCTCATCACAGACATCATGGTGTAAAATAGTGTGAATTTGCTTGCTTTTTTCACTTGAAGCGTTGATATTTAAATTTACTTCCTATCTTAGTTCATTAGTTCCAAAATAACACTGTCCCCAAAGGATTGAAAATCTATAACCAGAAAACATTGGGGCTGGAGCTTTAAAAAAAAGATGTATTGATTCACTGCTAAATTCCCAAGAGTCATTGCTAGTGTGCCAGTATAGCGGTTAGGATGAGGCCGGACCTGTAGTAGGTGTTGTCAGTGCAGGGCTCGTGAACCTGAACGATGATGAAGACATGTTGGAAGTGAGAGCGTATGGACTTTGGAGTGAAGGGCAGGGCGCCTGGCTCCTGGAACACGATCGTCACAATGTCGTTGCCGATGTGTCGCTTCCTCAGCAACTGATGAGACGAAACGGAAACACAGAGACGGCAATTAATCTGCTGTATCTCATCAGATGAAACGGAATCAAAGAATCTAATAACTGCACCACACTGCTATGTTTTATAATTTTGTGTTAACAAATCAAACTACACAACTGTAGGACTTTAGTGTCTACTTTTTTATTGCTAAAAGCATCGGTTTGATGATGACATCCTAGATCTAACCATAAACAAAAAGCAAAGATTCTATAATATCCATACTACAAAAACAAAAAAGAAAGTTATTGTGCAAATGTGGCCTGCTTAAGAGTGCTGATAACTGGAAAAAATGTTAGGTGGACAAATCAGGCTTAAATAAAAAATTTTTTAATAATAATATCTACAGATGGTTTACTGATCTTACACAGGACCACTAACCGATATGGGAAGCATAGTGGTGGTACTGTAATGGTTTCATCTGTTCAGTTCATCTGGTGGCAGAGTGTTAGCTTTAGAGGAACTATACGCTCTAAAGAAAAATGCCCGGACATACAGCTGGAGTCGACTCAGTAAAAAGGGGATTACATATGCAGAAGGCCTTCAGGGCTTGTGATTCAACCTAAGAATTATTCAAGATGAAAAACATCACGTTTTGAAATGGCTGTGTTAAAGTTGATGCAGAGCACTTTCAAACTGATACAGGAAGCATTAAGCTGCATCACTGCAGTACAAATGAGTCACAGCACATAATGGAAGATAGGGTTCTCCCATTCCTGCCCCACACAGAAACAATAATAATTCCACTCAGTGAATCTAATATCTTCAAAATCTTGGTTGTAGAATTGGTTTTCTAAAAAAATGTTTTCAATTATAGGTTATATTTCTATGTAGATGTAAAGAACTCTAAGGAATTTACATACTTGGAAGTGTCACCATAGACAATAAGGGAAGACCAAAAATCTCATTAACTACAATTAACCTGGAAAAATGACTAAGCAAAAATGTTAAACCCGGAGCTAAGGGGAAATAGATTCATTATTGTTGGGCCGCCTGACTTCCCCATTCAAGTGTTGTTGAAAAAATAAATAGCAAAGAAAATCTGGTAAACTAGATTAAAAAAGACCAGATTACAGAAGATTATTTCATGAGTTTAAGGAGGTATTTGAAGGCTTTGTCAGTCCACTGTTTTCATGTAAACCTTTAATCTCTGTGTATTATGTAATGTTCAGTCTTTTCATAAAAGACAGGCCTCAACCGCAGACAGCTCAGAGAGGAACAGGAAGGCTGCCAGTGCGAACCTTTTAGGTGGAAGTGAACACTGGGGGGCAGGATTTCTGTGTCATGCTTGTTGTGGGCACAGTGGCATTTTCTAAAGCTTTTTGACAAAGCATGACAGTCTGAACAGGGATGAGTAATGACGGTTTTATAGTGTCTGATGTGATCTTTTGAAGAAGAGAGGAGAAACATGTGAGTGTAATTCAGTGAAATTCAGCAGATCGACACGGCTTGGAATATGTTACACATCTGTAAGATTTTGAGTTTATCTTACCTGCTGGGTGTTGTTGGCTGTGTAGGGGAGCATGGTGGACACATGGAACATAATCTCATAGTCCTGATAGCGCGTATAGAGGGAATGTGTTCCGGTGGAGTCCGCTGTGTACCCACAAAACAGAAACGTACATATATCACACACAGAATTAAAGACATAACATACTGTCACAGCCAGACAGAAACCTGTCCCACTGAAGGGAGTTCGGCTCTGAGATAATCAGTGGCGACTATGCTATTTTACAGGCATTACTCAGATTACATGTGGCGAGATGGGAGTTATCTTAGGTTCTCAGTGAGACACTGATGCCCTTCAGATAAAGGCGCTGTGATAAAGTGAGATGTGGCTGATAGATCTGGGTGTAACGCATGTTTTCAGCTCACTCTTGTTATCCAGCTGAGCTCTGTATTTTTCCCAGCCTTTCAGCCGCACCCGCTCCCCGAGCAGATCCAGGAACTCTTCAAATGCCGGTCCGGAGCTCTCGTTGTTGTACATGTCTTCTTCTGAGCTCTGTCCAGCCCGGCAATACATCACACCAACCTTCCTCTGAAAATTCAGCTACAACGGAAGACATGAAACATGGAATTTAAAACTGGGCTTTTTTAACAGAGAATCCTCATTTCAGTTTCTTAACTGGCAGATAAAAAGCTAGCGGTTGCAGGGGAGCATTTCTATTCCAGTTTCAGCTGCTTAGTACCAACTAAACCAATAGTTTGTACAAGCACACGTGACCATGTCTTTCCTTCCTGTTTTCTCAAATGGCCAAGCTGCAAAAGGTGGAAGTTGCCTACAGCAGGCCTACAGTGAGTGCATTAAAGGGGTCAACCTTGGTCCTAAAACACATAAATGTGTGAGCAATACTGTTTTAGAGTATTCTTTTCCATGAGGGTTCATTTTAGATTTATCCCGAATTCATCTTCACCTACTGCCTAAAAATCCTACAGCATTCTTTGAACTCTTGCTCCAGCATTTCGTTTTTCCATCAAGTTCTTATTAACATTTCTGTGTTCACTTGAGAAAAAAGTTATCTAAAAGTGCCCATACTGTGATAATGTGCTTCAAACATCACTGAGTTTTTATTTCTGTCTTGGTATTAGCTTGTGGTGTATAAAGTTGTGTGAGGCACATTACACAGGCTGTGAAGTGGAGCTGAGTGACTGACCCCACCATCTAAAATCAGCCATTATGAATCAAGCTGCAAAGTTGTGTCTGAAAAGGGAACCATTGCTGCAACCATGTTGTATTTTTGTGTATTGCATGCAATAATATCTCAGGAAGTTGCATCACATTGTGAAAAAATAGTATTTTCTGCTTTCTTTTTCCGTTGGGGTTCCATAAAGTGTTTTAGATCAAGGCCTTTAAGAAAAACATATTTATTCTCTTTCCAGTCTGTAAAAATGAAATAAAAAACTCTGTTTCTTTGTAAACTATTGGTCATAGGCTTTCGGATGTATGAACCACACAAAAACATTGTAAAAAGAAAACAGAAGAAGAAGAAAACAACACAATAAGAGCTTACATGACCATCTCACATTTTGAAATCCAACCCAACTGATCAACATCTTTGTCTTTACTCACCCCCTGCTCATCCAGTTTGAGCAGTGTGTCGCGGACCTTTGGGGAGTTCGATGCCAGGCGAAGGCAGTGCAGGTTGAGTTCAGGCATGATGAACTCCAGCAGCCTCTTTGGAGACAAGCCTCTGGGAGTCGTGTGACGAGCGGCAGACGGTACCGACTCCTCGAAGATGGAACCTCGCAGTGTCTTCATCTGAGGAGAGAAATCCCCGTCAAATCATTTTCACACCCTGAAAGCTGAACGGAGCCTAAAGAAGGTGGGGATTAAGTGCAGTGTTACCTCTGTGGTACGAAAGATGATCCTATAATTGTACTGAGCTCCACTGGAACCTTCTTTTTCCTCTCGGCGAAAGCTGATGGCCACAGGGCCGAGACGATCATCCATTCCAAAGAAATTCTGATGTTCTGAGAAACAGTGAAATGAGCAAAGTTATAAACTAAGCGCCATACTAAAGAAGAAATCTTTCTTGGAAAAATACTGTCAAAATTCCTTAATAACTCATAATTCCTTTTCCAACAGGACAGAAATATGCAGCTAAAAATTCTTATATCCTCACACTGTTGTGATGATTACCTTGCGCCAAATCAGTAAAGCTAAGAGGCAGCTTTGGCACTTCACCTACCTTTCATGTAGAAATATTTGCGATAGTAATGGGCCCCCAGATCCGCATGCTCTATGAAGTAGTTGCTCTTGCCCTGCAGTTGGACGTGACTCTCTCTGGGCTCCTCCAGGACCGACACCGCATCGTTTGGAGTACGCAGGCTTGACCAAAGCCCTCGCTGGCCCGAGGACCGGCCCAGGCCCACCTGCTCCTCGCCTCCTGTCTCATTGCGGAAATGGGGACAGCTGAGGAGGAGCTCATTGTCATTTCCGTCGCCTTCATCGAGCAGCAGCGACTGTTCGGGGTCATCGGCGTTGGCCCCGTTGCTCCCCCCGCCCTGCGCGGGTGAGCAGGGGGTGGACTGGGAGAGGGGGCGCAGCTGGGAGGCAGCCGAAGCCCCCGAGGTGATATTCTTTTTGCGTCCGATGCTGTCTCTGTTTGTGGCCGCCTCGGTGAGGTCGAACAGGATGCTCTGAACATCATAGTGGGCAAAGTTTCTCACCCACGCTCCGCCCCCGAGGTTGTCATACGGACCGGGTTGAGGGATCTGAGGGGGCGTGGATTTGGACTTTTTACTAAGACCTTCAGGCTTAGGAGGCTTAGCAGGTTTTGGTGAATCACCAGCAGAAGTTGAGAGGCCCCGGAAGAAGCCATCAGGCTCTGGAGGGTTGCCATGCAGTCCTAAAAGCAGGAAAGGATCTTTGAAGCGGAGGGCGTTTGGACTCAGGGGTCCTTGATCTTCAGCTCTGGGCTCCTGAGCTTGAGTCTGTCTCTCCAGCGATGACAGGCTTCCATATTCCCTGTGGAGCAGCACACCTGAGTCCCCCTGAGCTCCAGAGCCCGCCTTCTCACCGGCCACTCGGACTGCTTTCCCTCCTGTCTTCCCGGAGGAATCCAGGTCTCCTAAGGTCACGTCGCTGTTGCTCCTCTGCATGATGTGGCCCCGACCCAAAGACCTCAGGTTCAACCCCACGCGGCTTGGAGTGAGACTGTCGGCGTCAGCGCCATCCCCGTCCCTCCTGGGGGGCCACTCCACTACACCAGCTTCCCTTTTGTGGTCAAAGTTGACGGTGGCAATAGGCGGCCGCACATTTTGCCGGCGAAACTTGCGTATGAAGAGGTCATCTGACTGCATGGTGTCTGAGAAAGCGATCTTGAGCCAATAATCTTTTCCAACAAGCGGTTCCTGCCGGTCTGGTTAACTTTTCTCCCGCGCTCCCGGGGTGCTGGTGTGAACAGTCGGCTGCTGTACGCGAAGGGGAAAAATCCTGCGAGGTGAACGCGACGAGCGAACTCTCATTTACACCACTGGCTGAACACCCTCGAACCTCGGCTTCTCATAGGTGCCTCTGCGAGACGTACCACCGTGTCACAGTGAGTTCTGGAGTGTGAGTGATGATGGCAAAGGAGAAATTGCAGCTGCTGCTCGCTGCGGGGGTCCATCCAGGTGGGCAGATGTGCGTCTATGTCCAGTTGTTGGCTGCTCCTTCCATTGGCGGCAAGGTGAGAGGATCATCACTGGAGCCCGACTTTCTGCCCTCTGAGTAGGAGAGGTTCTGTTTGTATTAGGCCGTCTAACATGGCATCCATCGGGTTGCACTCCTCAGTGCCTGCAGCCTTCATCCACTGGCCACCTGGGCAGAAAAACGACAGAAAGAAACGTCTTTGTCAACATCTTCCTCTTCATCACTCACCCACACTGCTGTAATCTCAGTCGACATTTTTATATTCTCTGCAGCTCGTCACAGGACCCAGGAACACTTTGGCGACTGAAATGGCTTTGATAAACAAGTATTGAATTCCAACAATAAAGCAGCAGGCAGGTCTGACGTGTGTTTTATTGTTGACTAATGCCTTGTACCTCTGTTTTCTCATTATTATTCTTTCCTTTGGACGCTTTCCGTTCTAGCGTTTCCCAAAATAGTTTCAGAGAAAACGTAATGCTCAGCACATCCACCCTGCACACGCTCACAATAGGCCATATTAAAACAGGGGAGGGGGCCTTCCTGGCTCACTGACGGTGTGCCCAGCATACAAGGGGGAATAAGTGTAAGCAGTCTCTCGCCCCTACATATGTTCATACACACTCACACACACACACAACCACAAACACACACACACATTCAGTTTAGTAGTTTACTCCTCTGACACATCGAAAGGAAAATAAAACAGCAGTAGCTTTTCACAGATAGCGGTATTTTAAAGAACTCAGGAAGTAAAAAGTCATTTTGCAGCAACGGTGCTTTGCTAGCACCATGAAACAAAGTGCTTCCCTTTTTTTTTTTTATTTCAATCAGAATTGATCTTTTTCAAATCGTAGTTGCAACTTACCCACGAAAAACTGGCAATAGGTCAACACCAGCGTCTATGTGCCATCATGTATCCCTCACACCTCGTCTTTGGTCAAATGTCTGTAATCCAGCTCAAACTCAATGTTCTTGTTACTGTCAGTGAGGTATGAGGCTTCTTCCTGTCTAGCTTTCTCACATGCATCTCCTCGCTTGTGCTTGCAGACTAAAGAGCAGGTGCAGTGGTGCAACGCAGCTACCAGAAAGAAAAAAAAGACGCACAAACACGCACACACATTTGTGCTTCACTTCAGAGGACAATACACTTTCTATTGTTTTTAGTATCTAGATTCTCTTCAGTGTTACTCAGTAAACAAATCTATTTCCTCAAAACCCAAGACATAAGAATACATACGCATACTCACACATAGCCAGAGACACGTCAAATAACGGGAGGAAGTCACAAGAAATCTTTATGTCCCCATTGCGTCTGCTTTCTCACTCTCCTCATTTCTTAACCCTGAGATACATGTTCTGAAGAAAAAAAGCGTTTGAATTCATATGATAGTTGACTCACTGCTGTCTGGAATCACCAATGCCCTCGGCAGTTTATCCAGAAAGGTCAACGAGCATCGACATGTTTACATCAAAAATACCATTACACTCCAAGTTCAGTAGTTTTTTTGTTTTTTTTAAAAGATGACACAAACTTAGAGAGGCTGTTTTATTAAATGATTTTGCATCATTTCCAACCTTGTCGACTGTTTGAGTCTTACGACTTTAAGTCTTTCATATTCCTCTGGACCTGACTGTATAAAACGACCTGTGTGAACTACATCAATGCTTCTATGGTTTTATTTGCATGAATTGAACTTTAAATGGAGGCGTATCTCCTGATAGAGCCTGTTTGACACCTCTGATTGATCCAGCCGTCCGACAGGGATCGACTCCTGTGACTATATGTGGTTTCCCATACATCTGACATGAGAGCATGGGATCACACAGAGCAGCCTCTGTTCGCTGTCTATACGGTGCCAAGGCTACTGACATTGAAAATCTGCTCATGTTTCTCTTTGAGCTTTCAAATGTTCCTACACCACATTACTTGAGTGGGCTCATGCAATGTCTGCCAATATGTGCTCATTAGGTCCAGCATAATCTGCACGCTTTACAATGCTCTTAAACCTGTGAGGAATCCATTCTCAACACTGTTAAAAATGGGCATAGATATTTGGCAGAAGGTTTTTTCTTGAAAATCACATGTTTAAAAAACCAAAACAACTAGAAGGGTCTACTAGTAAAAGCACAACCAACACAAATGCAGGTAAATTGTGCATGAAGCAGCTATTGTGTCCATAGCAACCTGTCTGGTGTAACCTCAATTTGTGGCATTTGCCCTCTCTGAAGTTTTATAATAACCCTGTTTACTCAACTGAGGCGACTGGGGCCTGGCCTGATGTTTGATTTAATGACTTTGGTCTTGTCCCTCAGCAAACTCCACAAACAAGATGAGGACAAACAAGGAAAGAATGGTAAATGCACATTAAAATGCATGGGTACTGACAAAAGACCAAGCTTTGTGCTCGAAGGAACCCAAATATTACAATCACGCGTGAGGTCTTAATCAAGTCACAGATCTGTTAAAAACATTTGGACATTTAAAGGGTTACCATAAGAGAGTCAGGAGAGGTGGTTTTTAAATTAGCAGCTGACATGGTGCATCCCTGTGATGTTTTTTTGTGACAAAAAGATAGCTGAGTAGCAAAGCATTAATCAGTTCACAGTTACCAAGGGAACAGTGAATGTCATGATCCAGTCTGAGCTATTCTACACATTTGTCTCTGGGCCAAGTGCAAAAAGCAGGTAAAGCCTGACACGATCCACTGCTTCCTTTATCTGTCAGAACATTTTGACACTAGATGTATTCAGCAGCTCTTTAGAAATCTCATACGGACATTTTTAGACACACTGTGAGTAATGAGGCCCTCCATTGCTTGTATGGTGTCTTAGTACCTAAGGCAGGTCAGAAAGTAACATGATATGCTAAGCCTATGGTACCAAATGGAAACAGAAGTCCAAATGTCCTCTCTTGTCATCTATTTAAGAAATTTAACAGGATCAAGATTGCACAGGATAAGCATTTTTTATTGATTTTTAAGTTTTTCAGCAACCACAAAAATCAAGAAAGCCTATTTTTATGGAATTGCTTCATTCAGGTAATATCATTTGTAGGCAGGCTTTCACTCACCATAAGGGATGTGTGATGTCTTCAGACAGATCTTCATTAATCCAGCGTAGCATTTAAAACATATAAAATAAAAACCTTTAAAAGATAGCCTTGACTGAATAGAAACCATCCTCTGTTTCACAAATATAGAGAAGTGTGTAATATACCTTACGCAGAAGCTCCAAGTGAAGAGGAACTGAAGCGTCCTGTGTCTGCTTTATATTTCTGCTCCATATCCATAAAAGAACAGTGTGTTTTATTTCTGTGTCTTTCCTACTGCATGCATCCAAATGAGGTTTGAGATATCATTGTTCAGGACTGTCTCCCAACATAGACATCAGCCAAGCTTAGTCAATTATACAACTGTGCCTTGATGAATGGAAAAAAATAGCTGGATGAAAAAAACATTAATAACCAGCTTCATCTTCTCCCAAGATATTTGACAGTGAACCCTCTGCTGTGCATAAATAGTCAGGAACTACTTTCATATTCGGAGTTCATCTGGTGGAGATAAAAATAACTTTGATTTGCCATCAAGCATTTGCACAATTCATCAGTGAGACATTTTTTGCTTTCTTTTTTCTGATGGCATCTGACTTAACTTGCTCTAAAATATAGAAAGTGTTTCCAGAGCAAACACAACACCATGTGAACAAAGTATCTCTCTTCAGTTTTGCGTCCCTCAGTTCGGAGCTCGTCAATCACCTTTGGCAATAATGCACTTAACCGAAAAGAGTGTGTGCACAAAAATCTGCAGATGTTTATTTGCTCTTTGAATGCAGCTCCAGGCTGAAACTAAAGATGGCTGACACCATCGTGATGGTGCAGTTGAGTCACCCTCTAAAATAAGTATATACTGGCCAAACATAAAACAGTTAGCGGCTGTCCATCCAGAGACCCTGCAGCAAGGTGTCAGGGAGCAGCACGCATCAACCGCCCTTTCTCTCAAGCTAAGACACCGATACTTGTTTCAGCAATAGCTGCACGGGCCCATAAGCACCTACAGTGAACACACACTTCTCCATGTAAGTAGTAGCTTGCACATGTGAGTAACAACTGATGGAAACTGTGAGTCTCAGTTCTACAGCTCTATCATATGACGCTTCTTTACTGGACTGGTGTGCAGAAAGCCCTTTAAAAATGTTCCATGAAATGGGTTAGAGGAGGACTTGCACAGTCTGTAAGTCATTTATAACTTTTATCAACATAATTTAGCTATTTGGAAAGTTAGACTGATATTGGACGTTTCAGTGTCTGTCATCCTCGGCAGTTGTTTGGTTTCAAATCAGACCAAACATGGATGGCACTTTCCACTCATGTGAACTCTGCTTAGCAGTGCTGCTCAGGATTCAGATTAATTTAAAATACCAAACAGAATAAAACTCTTCTCTTCTGCCACAGATTAATTCCGGAAACAAAGACCTTGGCATGTAGAAGTTGTCCAGGATTTTTCTTAAGATCTAGAACATCAGAAACCACCAGGAAGCTGCCTCCTGGTGCCTTCTGCTGAGTTCCTGCTGGTACCAGATCCAGTAATCTATATGAACAATATCATTTTTAATCTTGAAACTCACAACTTGAAACAATACAGACAGCACTTACTTATCCTAGTATTATCCCGCTGAACTGGGCAATACACTGGTCATGAAAAAACTGCTTGTTTATTGAGCTATTTACTTAGTACTTAGTAATTAGTACTCTTGGAGAAGACTCACTTGAGATGCTTGAAGCAGAAATGCAAATATAATTTCTACTTAATAATTAAGTACAAAGTAAAGTACTTTTTCCCCTGTGTAAATGTTTATTCTCTGCAGTGTTTTGGTTACATAGTCATTAATAATTCCTGTTCAAAGTTTCACACATTTGAAGACTAAAGGAAAAACTTTTTTTTCATATGTTGTGGATATTTTCTCAATGAGACAGGAAGCATCAGTTCAATCCTATTATTGCTTTTTTTAGATAAGGCCCTTTTTGCATTTAACATAAGTTTTTGAAAATGCTTTTTGTCCTTTGCTCCCAGCATTACAAAACTTTTTGTGCCAGATTCATTTTCAGCTGCCCAAGGTGAAGGCCCGGTTCAGCCGATGACAGGCAGTCCCACTTCCACATTAGACCTAGTGCAAGGTTAACGAGGCTCTGGTGTCCAACGGACACAAACGGAGGTTAGAGGAGAGTCGAGTAAACCTGCACCGTTTGGCGGAAGTCATGGCCGCTCGACT